ATTATCAAGGTCAATATCAAGAAAATGTTCGTCAACAAGGCAATTGCTGAATTGATTATTCCTATAGATGATCAAGCAATTAAAAGAGGACTTGTGTTTTCATCTATTTATATCTATTTCTTTTTTTTTTTTTGATAATCTTTAACAAATAAATCATTCTAAATTGATATAATGTGTATTTTCTGCAAATCTAATCTAAATTCTTATACTTTTATTTTTTCGTATCAGTTCAATCTTCTGATCTGTTACGGGTATATTACTTAGATCAAATTCGATTATTTCTATTTACTCGCTTTCTTAAATATTTTCTTGTCTTCTATTAATACTATATCTACACTTGTTTACTTGGTTATTGTTTTTGTTGGATAGTTCATATTAGAGACAACATAGAGAAGGGTATGAGGATGTGGATCTCAATATGAGTGTTTAGTATTAGTGTTCTCTATGTCCACATCTGTATACGTAGGAACAGTCACACTCACATTGCACACCCACAGAAGCTTTAAAATTTCTGACATTTCTAATACCTCTAAAAACTTTTAATTTGTACTTTTTGTATGGCGATGGATCTGATGAAAATTGTAGTATTCTATTTTTATCGCTTATAAAAGAAAACTTAACCCTGAACAAATATTTTTGAGTAAAATTATCTAATTATAAATAGCAATTATGAAAGTCTATTTTTTTAATGGAAAAATATTTCAACATTCTCTTATTGTCATTATGATTTTATTGACAAGGAACGTGACTACTTTTGATTATCACATAAACAGATTTGGTAGTCTTAAAAAATTTTTTCACCTTCTTCTTGAGTCATATTTTACATGGTAGAAATTATTGTTAGTGTTAGTTGTTATTTTTTTCTTTTGAATTTTCGTCATATAAAATATTTATTTTCAATATAATTTTCAAGGATGCAACATATTCAGTACAATAAGGAAACAGTTCTTATATTACGAAGGAATGCTAATCTGTGCTCTTAGATCAACAACATCTGTCATAGTCTGTGACAAAGGTCTCAATGGACCGGATCGAAATGAAGAAAATCGATTCGTGATTTTTTTTTCTCTTGGAATATATGGCCTATCCACAGATCATTCATCTAATTGTATTGAATAAATTATTAACATATGAATGAGCAAACATATTTTGAGTAAAATAATTGATGTATAAGCAAATGTTCGGTAAAATGTTTTTGATAAAGTTATGTTTGTTTTTTCATTTTTAATAACAACATATGTCGATGACACTTATTTCAAAACAAATTCGATCCATACAGATGTATACTACTTTGTATATGATGATGATAAACTAATACTAGTACTTGCAAAAAGTATTAACAGATATTGATGATTAAGAAGGTTCAGTTAGGAATAGAATTAGAATTAGAAAAAGTAATTGATTATGATGTTGTAATAAGTGATGAACTAGGAGAGCTAAACAAAAATATTTTGTTGAATATAAAGAAAGTTTTTTAGGGCGATGACAATATTATCTTTTATTCTTCATTGCAGAACTATTTTAGCTAATGGAAGAAATACATGAGATTTCCAAAAAAAAAAAGAAAATTGAGTTGAAAAACGCAATATCTTTTGAAAATTTTATATTTTATTAAAATCTCAATCGATTGAGTTCTCTAGTCTGTGATATGGAGAAGGAAGAAGAAGTGTTGCTAAGATATCTGTAATAGTCTTTGACTAGCGGTTGTCACCTTCCGTGGAATGGAGAAAGAGAAGTCTAAATTTTTATTCCTATACTTCAACACTCCTTTTAAATCATATTTCAAAAGAAAACAGTTCATAACACACAAAAAAGAAGTGAAGGTGATGGAACTATTTTATATTAATTTGACAATACTGAAGAATATTACAAAAGACATAAATTCTATGCTATTTCATAGTTCAAGGCCTATTGATATGATAGATGTAATACATTTAACTGCATACTTTATGTATTTAATATAAATAGTTTAACCAATTTTAAACAATTAAATTCTTATAAATATGGTCATAATTGTCCTTTGCAATATGAAAACCCAGCAGAATATAATGAAAAATATTCATATGTTTATCGTTGGTCAGAACTTTATCATGATTGAGATCGAAATAATGAACATGCAAATCAATTTACACATATTGTACATAAGACAATTGCATGTAAATATAGTAAAAAATGTAATAAATTAAACAAATCTAGAACATTATCGTATTTATAGACATGAAGGTCTATCTGATTTTCTTATACCATATAAATATAAAATTCAATGTATAGTTCGATCAATAGAACATTTTTTAAAAAATTCTATCAAAAAATTCATAATAAGCAAAACAAAAATTATTATGAATTACATAAATTTATATATTTTGTCTACTTAAATGTAAAATTAGAGATAACAAAATAATACAAATTAAAGAGAATTTGTTCAACAAACTTGTAAATATAGTAATGAATGTTGTCATTAATTTGATTCAAATCATTGTATTCGTTATTTTCATTCAACATCAACTTTATCAATTCAATTATTTAATGTATCAACTAATTCGCCTTCTCATAATCAAAAAGCTATTCAAAATATGTCTATTGAAGCAATTATTATTGTATCAGATACATATAATCAAGTATTCGATAGTTTAAATATCAAATATATAACTTTTAATTAAAATCATATATTAACTTATTCATTTCATAATAATCAAACAGTTTATATAAATTATACATCAACATTTTCTATTGAAGCAGCCAAAATAGATATGACGACAAGTAGACATTGATCGTCATATTGTTATAATTGATTGAATAGTAGAAAATGTTCTTCAAGTGGTATTTTCTGATTTTTGTTAAATATAATGAATAATCAACAGCAGATGATATACAAGTAGTTGAACTTAATCATCCATTAGTTAATAATTTTCTATTTACATCAAAACATGCCCAATCTCAATAGTGATTAGAAGGTAGTTCACATTCAATTAAAATTGTCAATAAAAGTGCAGTATGTGTATTAATTCATTTAGAAATATTAGAAAAAAAAATATCAATCTGATTCTATTCTTATTACATTTAATTGTGGTAAAGGTTAAATATTATTTATATGATATCATATTTTTATTGACAACGTTCTGAAACTCGTGATGTTCGTTATCAAATGTCAACTGAACAATTTACAATAGATATAAAAGTATCAATAACTACTACAAATCTTGTTATAAATTAAGATCAACGTCTAAACTATGCTTAAATTCAATCATAATCTATATCAATACAATTCATTTATAATCAAATTGCAAATTATTTAAATTCAACGAATTAATTTGATTTTGTTTTTTTTTTATTATAATCTAGAATAAACTTATTTTTTGATTTATTTTTTTAAATTTTTTTCTTATTAATAAATAATTATTTTTGAATATATATACCTTGTATTTTATGAAGTTTGACTTAATGTTACACTAATAAATTCATTTTCATTATTTTATTTTCCATTAGATTTATAATTAAGTTCAGTATTAATTGAATTTGTTCGTTGTTCTTGTAATATAAATCATTTTTTATCACTATATATTAAACTAGCAATAATTATAATATTAACAATATATAAATCAATAATTAACCAAATTTTTAAAGAACTATTTTCTTTTTTGTATTTGACTATTTACTCAATTTCTATCTATGATTATTTCACAAAAATCACCTTTTGTTAATAAATTATATAAACATTGATTATCTATAGATGATCTACCATTTTGACATGAATCATTTGTATCATGACAATCTTGTTCTTAATATATATAATTCTATTAATTAATAATAAAAAAATATAGAAATTTATACGACAAAATGTGCCTTGATAACCAGTTTTTATACAATTACATATAAAATTATCTCGTTCGACTGCTTTGTATTGTCGATCATTCATACCTAGAAAAAATGATTTGGGGAATACTGAAAGTTGTAATGAAGATACTGTAATTCGTTATAAAAATCTTACATAAACTTTGTATCTATATGAATTGATAGTAAAAGTAAAGTTCTATTACATGATTGTGTCATTAATATGATAATAATAAAATTTCGATAAGAGTTATTTGATATAATAAATATATGATGATAACATCAAATCATATCTGTCTTCGATATGTACTCAATACCGTTTGTTTTAGCAGAACCGTCGATTCAAACCGTTTACTCTTTTTATAGCAATTTTCGATTAGTTTTTTCTATTAATTTTGGCTTCGTCTGTCGTAAAAAATATGGATTTCATGCCTCCTCCTTCAAAAACACAATTTTTACAGGTTTTATCTTTCGACTGATAAGTAATTTTGTGACATCATCTATATAGGACAATTAAACCAGTGGTGGAGTTTGGATTATGGGCTAATGAGGGCTCAGCTCTTCCCACTCTTATGAGATTTTCGAAGAAAAAAGCACATTTTCCGAAAATTTCGCTAAGAGACCCTAAGCAACCTCTGGTTCTACCATGGAATCAAACTCGTAAATTAAGCATGAAAACGGTCGATGTGACTATTATAGGCTGCTTCAATACACTCATAATTAGTATGAAGCGAGAGTCCGATTCAAATCTCTCATCTTTCCAGGAGTCAAAGAAAAACTAATACATCGACATATACGAAAAACTTAAGCAAAATAATCGTGATTTTCGCAACATGAGTATCCTTTTCTTGGTTTTTCTCTTAGTTTTTCTCCTCTCTTTGTTTTGTCTTTTTATTCCAAGGTTAGCCACAACGTTACATATCTGATTTTCTTCTATTTTCGGCATCTACCATTTTGTTTTTCTGAAGAAAGTCTTTTATCTTTACTCCCATATTCCCTAGACTGAAAGGATAGGGTCTAGAAATCGAAATTCACCTGTGTCCGTCTGTCTGTCCGTCTGTAACACGTGGTACAAATGACCATTTTCATGATACAAAATACCATGGTTGTGGTACAAATGACCATTTTCATGGTAAAAAGTACCATAGTTGTCGTACAAATGACCATTTTCATGGTAAAAAGTACCATAGCCATGGTGCAAATGACCATCTGTATGCTATAAATGACCATACCGATGATACAAGTGACCATACTGATGATACAAGTGACCATTTTCGAGATGCAAAGTACCATAGTCGTGGTACAAATGACCATACGGATGGTACAAGTGACCACAAAGATGGTACAAGTGACCATGTGGGTGGTACATGAGACCATGCCGATAGTACAAATGACCATAGACATGGTATAAATGACCACAGAAATCGTAAAAGTGACCACATGCATGGTACAGAGAAGCACAAAGGTAGTACAAGTAGCCACAGACATGGTACAAGTTACCACAAAGATCTTACAAATGACAGCAGACATGATCATTGGGACCATCGTCTTGGTGACTTGAATCATTTTTGTGGTCATTTAGATCATATTTTGATCACTCATATTATCTCTATGGTCACTGACTATAGAGATGGTACGAGTGAAGAAATGATAATCAATGGTCATAAACTCGGTGAAAGTGACGATGAGTCTAGTTGACAACAGTGGTATCTAAGTCACAGGCAACCAAAATATGATCTGAATGATCAAAAAGATACTCTAAACGATTACAAACATGACATAATTAACCAGTGATGTTACACAAATATGGTTCGAATAAAGACACACAAAGTTCAAAAGAGTACAGATACGATTGTGTGGGGCATGTCTATTGTCATATGGACCATACCGGTGACCACATGTACAATATTTATGGTCATGTTATGCCAGCTTTTGCTCATTCAGAGTATATTTGTGGTCCTTCAGGCTTTATTGGTGGTCATTGGAGCATAGTTACCATAAGGTTAGTGTGTTATACAGAGACAGACGGATAAAAGTAAATTATTGGTTCTAGACTGTTACCTCAGTCTAGGGTCAAGCGAATCGAATTTCGATGAGTGTTACTTGTGTATATTTATTTATAAAAATTACAAAAAACTAAATAAAAATGCAAATATATGTTAATAACATTGAAATAATTACTTTTATTGAATTTAATTGTTAAAATGGTCTAAACTAAAAGAAACACAATCTAAATAAAAGAAAGCATACTTCTATTTTATTGAATTGGTTAAATTATCCGTTCAATGATTTTTTTAACAGATCAGCACCAGAGATAGATCCAGACTGAGTTTTTCACGATCGATTCTGATCTAATGATTATCGCTCGGTCTGAAATCCATACCTGCACTTGATTAACGAATTGTCCTACTGTTCCATCTATGAATAGTGATGTTTGACGTAGTCAACTTTCAACAAAGTTTCATTAAACTTCTTCTATAAGATAATAAGAGCAAGAAAATAAATAAGACACACCGGTAATGACCAGTCTAATGATAACAACCAGTTTAATGGTGATCGACTGGTCTATCCGTAACGATCAGTCTGCTAGTGCCTGATCGGCAGTCACCCTGAAACTCGTATTGACACTGGACTGATGAGCTCTCGTAGTATTTTATCTGTTGATTAGGGCTCCATGTGGGTTGGGACTTCATACTCGTCAAATATTTTATAAAAATATTCTGAACACATCTATCGTTTCCATTAATACTGCCAAGTTTTATATTATTTCATTTTGTATTTCATAACTCATGTCGTATAGAACGGTCGGTAAACCTCAGGTCAAAGAAGCATGGTCGTAAACGGCTGTTTCAGTTAAGTTTTTCGCCTTTTGGTATGTGCCGTACTACAGTCGATCGTAAGCGAGCGTAACTGGTCGGATACTCAATTTTTTGACTGTCTTTAGTGCCGTAATTAGCAGTTTACGACATGACAAAATATGGCCGTAACACGTTGCATACCAAACGTCAACTTAGGGCTATTTACAGCCGCAAACTGTATGAAATGATAGTATATGTAAACTTTCTTGACCGTCTACGATCGTGTTTGTTCGTCGTAATGGTCGACCTTGGTAGATAAATAGAGTTGTAAAAGAGAAAAAATCGGTGTAAATAAGACATTATACGATGAAAATGCGGTCCTGATACTATTCATCGTTACTCGCTGAAAACAACCTTAAACTGCATTATTTATGTTTCGAGGAAAAAAGGCCTGTAATCCGAGCTGCCGGAAAACGGTGATCGTTTTTCATCGTTTAGGGCAGTAATCACCCCATTTCTTCACCATTTTAGGCATCGTTTCAGAAGATCGGCATAATCGACTTGGGAGCTCTATTATAACCAAGTTCATATTTCATTCACTTATTTTTACAATAAAATAATACATTTCATTCTCTCTATGAATGTAAACTTTTTCTAATCATCACCTACCGACGGAGATCTTTTTTTGAGCACTACTATCTGCGTTGAGTACTCATGGACCAGGACTCGATGTAAATACATACGACTAAAAATACGATTGATAACTGACAAAACCTTGGGTTCAAATTCTTCTTTTATACGAGATTTCTGGACTGGAAAGCCAGAAATCTGCTAGCAAGCCAAAGATAATTTATTATTTGTTTTTTTAATCACTTTATAACTCGATGAATCTTTTTCTAATAAGCAGGTAATTCGTTCAGTTGTAAATTCATGAACAGCTGATGAAGAATCAACAATAAAAGATGCAGGGATAAAGTGATGAGAGAAGAAGACAAAGCAGTGGTCAAACTTATTGAATCGAATTGATCAGATTGATATTGAACAACAGACGACGAAATACCCGAAGACATATTATCGATTGTAAGTAAAATCAGAATCAAATCATTTGTTACTATTACAATAGATCGAACTGCGTGTTACTTTATATGTTGATTCATTGTTATTTGTTTTATCGAATTCTAATGATTACAGGACTGAACCACTTATAGGTAGAAGAACAAATTATTTCTCACTTGTTTCCCTCGAATAGTCGAGAAAGACATCTATTTCGAAACGATTATGTTATTCTTAATAAAGTTCTGCAAAAGAGGTTTGTCTCATGGGATCCCATGTAATATTTGTTACATCCTATGGGATGGAATATTTTCAAGATATTGCATGGATGGAATAGGATTGTCATATCCCATGCGGAACCCTGCTGTTGATAATGATATTTGACGTAGTCAACTTCCAATAAAGTTTCACTACGCATCCTCTGTGAGATAATAAGAGCAAAAATAAATAAATAAGACACATCGGTGATGATCGGTCTTTCAGTGACCGGCCGCTCTGAAAGCCGTACCGATTTCATCTCTGATCAGTGCCACAATATAGAAGATATATTTTCAATGCTAAATAAGTAGCGTCTAAATTAGAAGGGACATATTTGCTTAAATATTTATTTAAATTCACAAAACTTACTGTAGACGTGAGAACTAAAATTATAATCTTACATGGTTTTGATTATCAGAGTTTTCAAGATTCATGTAAAATTCATGGCAGCATCTTGCGGTCAGATAAATATCAAAATCTTACAGTAAGGTATTTATACAACTTTGTAAGATCATACAGTATAAATCTGACGACATTCGATTGCTAGTAAGGTTTTTTCACCTAGGAATTCATCATTTTGTAAAAAAAGTGTTTACTTAATCATAAGTTTATTATGTCACACACTAAAATAAAATGTGTCGCATGTGTCGTACTTTGCGACACAATCCATGACACATTGAAGTGCGATACATTTTGTTCAGCAATGACAGAACACATTTTGAATGCGTGGTTCGAATCTAGTATTCAGCGCATTTTTTATTTTTTTTCTGTAGAAGCAAATAAGGACATTTTTTTCAATTTAATTCTAATTAGTGAAGCTTATTCTAAAAGTTCAAGGCGACCAGATCTTGAGATCTAGCCATCTCGAATTCGTCTGATATAGACCAGACCACTTCCAGACAGTCTTATCTCAATCGACGATCGATTTATTGAGATATTCTTGACCAATAACTAATTGAGAAATAATCTAGAAAAAATGACGTACGAAAATATACAAGTTCAGTATGTCCAATTGAGTTGGCTATGTGTACCGATGTCGCAAAAACCGGATTACTTTTAGCGGTAAACCGCGGTTACCATCAAAAATCACCTGTTACTCGATAAAGCGGAATAAAACGACAGTTAACAGGAGAAAACAATCGATTTTTCGCTGTAAAGAAGTCGGTAACTGAACCAGTAAAACCGCGGTAAACCACCGATTTAGTTTCCATAGCAACAGAAAAAGATGCAAAACTTAGACTGTTCTAATATATGTCAAAGTCTTCGTTGAAATTTAAATGACACAAATACACTTCTCAATGTTCTAGAAATTTTTACACAGATAATCGATTATATCACGAATATCAGGAATGATGATTATTGATATATGGGTTTATCATAGTTGTCATTTAATTAACACAAAAACCATGAACTACTCAAGGTCTAACTTATGAAAATAATCACTATCAAAAGAAAAAAAATGCTGTTCGAAATATCAAAATAAATAAGACAGAAATATTTCTCTAATAATCAATCACTTTTTAAACGCAGTTATTATTTGTGAGCAATTTTCCAGCTGATGTGTTTTGTATTGATATTTAAATCGATTTTAATTATCATTTTTACTACTTGCTTTTCATCGCCACTCATTGTTCCAATAAGTACATTAATGGTGAAACGAAATTCCATTACTATTAGTTGGGGATCATGTAAAGATGATGATGAAAGTAAACTTATTGGTTATGTTGTTGAAAATCATGATGGTTCAAGAAATGTGTGGCAACTATATTGGATATAATAATTATCAACATACATTTACATATACAAATACTGAGTTTACTGAAGATGTTGCATATCATTTTCAGATATATGCAGAGAGTTGTGTTGGAATCTTACTAACATTAACAATAATTGATGCAATTATTGCTAAAAGTTCATATACACGTCCAGATATACCAGAAGGATGATCACTATTAACAAACGTTGTTTCATTGAATTCGATTGAATGTTCATGGCAGGGTGTGGATATGGATCTGGATTATGTCTCATCCATACCCACGCTCGTACTCAATGGTGGATAGGACAGAACAAGACAGGAGAGACTTGATGAAAAGTGGGATATGGGACGTTATGGAACAATTTTTCATTGTTCCGAAGAGCTCTAATAGGGAAGATTCACGAAAAGTGGGCTGTGGGCTGTATCTTCTTGTACTGTCAATCTGTTCTCTCCTTACAGTGAGCATTTTCACAGTGAGATTCTGGTTTCTTGTTTCCACTATAGATGGACAACTAGCTGAATGCTTGTGTTACCATTGAACGCGCGATCATTGTGTTCGAAGGAGTCAATTTTGACA